TGAGTAATTCTTGAGCAGTGTAATGTGGGTTTAACGCCTTATCTTAAACCCCTTTGTGGTCTAACTTTAGCAATTTTACAACCTAAGAGAAGAGTTAAAACTTACTGAGGTAACACTCATCATAATCTTTACTAACTTTGCCTCGAGAAGCCCATTTTAAGAAGGACAGCCTTAAGGAAATCCCATTCAACATGATCAAATGCTTTATTTATGCCTAACTTGACTGCAACCTTTAAAAGGGTATCGGATCTTGCTTTTAAATAGTGAACAATTCATGCGCAATTAGGATATTGTCTTAGATAACTCTCCCTTGCATAAAGGCTTATTGTCTTTTAGTGATAATATGAGGCATCATCATCTTCATCCTGCTTGTAATTAACTTAAAAAATCTTATAAGAGAAATTACATAAGTTGATAGGACAAATTTACTTTCAAACTTCAATAAATCAATTTTTTGTGTCATTATTAGGTTAGTCTCATTGATGCCCCATATAGCAATCTCAGTAGAACAAAATCTCTTAATCAAGTCACATACTCGTGGACCAACAATAAACCAGGATTTATGATAAAACATGCCAGAGAAACCATCAGCACCGAGTGCTTTTGTACTCCCCATGTCAAAAACAACTTGTTAGATTTTAGAGTCAGATATAGGTATATTTAAGAGTAAATTATGATGTTCAGTCACAGCTAAATCAACAAAGTAAAGAATACTAGCAAAGTTACATTCATCATCAGTTTTGAATAGAGAGTTGTAAAATTCAATGAATTATTAGTCAATTAAAGATTAAGAATCTGTCCATTCACCATTATGACACTTTACCCTTTGGACCTTGTTTCAATGCCTCCTACAAACTATACTCATATGGAAGAAATGAGAATTTTTATCCCCTCACTTACACTAATTAATTTTAAAGCGTTGAAACTAGTACTTTTTCTCATTGTCCTAAAGGCATTCCGATTCTCTTTTTAGATTTTAGGAGAGGTAGGCTCTCTCATTAGATCAGTTACCTTTGTAGCAACCTTTGAGTTGAAAGAGTAGTTTACTAATTAGTACAACATTGTTAAAGAAGCATTTCTTGTTCCATTGTAGCAATGATTCTTTAGTTTTCATCATATTGATGTTAAACCATTTGATGTCAACATAAAGTTTTGAGTTAAGGGACTCTTAATTATCTTTAATGATTGTCAGAAGATCAAGATGATCTAACTATTAAAATCAAGTTTGAGGAGAAGTGGAGAGTGATTAGAGGCAACTATTCCAAAACATTAAGGATGGCATTTCTATAGTCTTCATGCCAAGCAATGTTACAAATTGCATGATCTAGTCTTTCCTGTATGAAACCTTCACCTTCTCTGTTATTTGCTAAAGTAAATTTAGGACCTGAGTAGTGGAGATCCATCATGCCGTACGAATTCAGGAGAGTGTGAAAGAATTCAGATGCTTTAGGCAAAGAGAGTCTACCACGCTATTTTTCATGACATAAGAGTAATTCATTAAAATCACCAATATAGATCTAGGGAGTGAACTCATTAGGATTAAGTTGAATCATATGTCTCCACCAAAATTATTTTAATTCTTCTCTTGGAGGTCTATAGATAAAAGTGCAATTATTAGAAGATTTGAAAAAGTCATTCATAATAGTAGTGTGTACAAAATTCCAAGTGGCAATATGAATATTAACTGTGAAAGAAGACTTCTACTATAGGCATAGACCACTAGCTCTCCCCAAACAGTTAATAGAGATACCAAAACCAAAACCACAAAGTTAACGCAACATTTCTACTTTGCTAAATTTCATCTTAGATTCAGACAAAAAAACAATAAAGGGCTTAAATTTATTACACAAGAATTTGAGATGGCTCTCAGTCAGGGCAGCCACTAAACCTCGACAATTCCAAGCAATGAGACTCATGGCTATTGGGTGGCCCTTGAAAGTGCTTACTGAGCCTTTCAGAGGAAGAAATAGAGACATTAGAAGAAATAGAGCCTTTTAGCCATGGCCTTTAACGGGACTTGAACTAGGTCTGTTTGATTGTGCAACCTAGAATCCGTCAACTAATGGAGTTAATAGAGATAGAATAATTTGAATATAGAGAAAACATTAACAGATGCTTTTATTACTTTTAGGCTTTTCATATGCAATAACTTTGCCCACTTCGTTTCCTAATATGAGTATGTTATCATGGAATATACCCACAGTAGGGATACCATATACTGAAATCCAGAAAGGACAATCATCAAATAGAATATCATCAATCATCAACAAAGGATTTAACTCATGCAAATAGAGAACAAAACCCTGTATTATCTATGGTTGCTCTTTCATGATATGAAGTAACTCATAGAGGAGTTACACACTCATAGCACACCAACTATAAGGAAAGACATACTCACACTTGCTAGAAGGAGAAAAAATAATGGGGAAATCTCACACATACTTGAGATAGGGGAAGACCGAGGAAAGGAATAGGTGGCAATGAAATAAAGGTAAGGGAGAATCAAAGGAACCTCTCCTTAAAGAGAAGAAGGGGTTGCACACAGCAAGGCAATGAGAAAAGCTCTCACAGAGGAGAAGGGTTCTCATTAAAAGAGAAAAGACACTCATGAAGGGAGCCTCATTAAAATGTTTTATCATAGTTCTTTCTTGAAAAAACATCATCTAAGGATTCCTATAGTATTTTTATATTAAAAAAATATTTTAAAAATTTGGAATATCGTTGTACCCCCACCTGTCTAGAAATAAGATCTTGAAAAAAAGACCTAGCTACTCCTATAATGTTTTACAAGTCTTGCTCTAGTATAAATAAAAAAGTATTCAATTATTGATAAGTTACCACATATAATTAAAAAGCAGACATTCGTTTATAAATAATTTATAAAAATTGATATGCCTAGTTTAATTCTACAAGTCTTGCTTTGATATAAATAACCAAGTATTCAACTATTAACAAGTTTCTATATATTAATATCGAATAGATATTCGTTCATGAATAGGTAACAAAAATTTATAGGTTCGGTTTAATTTTATAAGTTTTGCATTCGTATAAATAACAAAACATTTGGTCATTGACAAGCTACCATTTGGCTATAAACAATAAACTAGGCTTATAAATTTTTGTAAATTGTTCATGAATGAATAGTGAATGAAGGTTTGCTTATTAATTACATATGGTAACTTGTTGATAGCCAAATACTTTGCTGTTTATATTGTAGCAAGACTTGTAAGACACTACAAGGATAATTATATTCCCCCTAAATATTTTTTTCAAATGTATCAGAGGATGCAGTGATATTTCATATTTTTAGAATCTTCTTTTGATATTAATATGGGGAGCTTAGATGATACTTTCCCTTCTTATTTCTTTTTGATAGAGTCGTGACTTTTTGAAGTTACCAAAACATAAGAAAAAAAATTAAATCATTAATGGTAAATTTGGATTAATGAAAATTTGGATTTGGATTTAAATTTAAACCAAATCCCTTATCTTGATATACAAAAATTTATAGATATAGACTTAATTTTAATTCAAATTCAAATTTATTTTTAAATTTTTTTTGTAATTTCAAATTTCATCTACACTATAATCATTTGAAGTTTTAGTTACTTCAAGTATCTTATTCTTTACATGTTTTCAATATTAACGTCTCTATAATTCTTGTATCTCTCCTTGTTTCTCGTTGATTTAAAAATAAAGATAAACTCGCCACTCATATTTTTTTTTTGTTTTCATTTGGAATATCAACTTATCTTTCTTATTCATTTGAGAAATTTTAAACTATCAAAATAAGGTATTTTAAATACATGAATTTTAAATGTAAAAATTTTAATCTAAGATGAAAATCCAAATGCTACTTAAAAATGTTTTTCTTATTTGATATTGGTCCAAATCACTCATTTAGATACACAAAATTTTATAAATTTAGACTTGATTCAAATCTAAACCTATTTATTATTACAATTCCTTAGTAATTAAAATTCTCTATATATTCTAGTTATTTAAAATTTTAATTACTTCAAATATTTTGTTTTATTCATATTTTTATTATGAATACCAAGCCGATAATTCGGGCCAAGCCCGATGAGTTAGTCTGAACCTGTCCAAAAAAAGTTAGGATCGAGCTTAAAAAATTAGGATATCTTTATGTTTGGGCCCAAATAGGCCTGAGAAAATTCGAGTCAAGTCCGATTGGGTTCGGGCTTAGCCTGAATACCCAAATAATTTTTTTATAAAATATATAAAAAATAATAAATATTAATTAATTATTTAAGTTTTAGGTTATTTTATATTACAATACCATATATTTAAGTCTTATACATCATTTAAGTATAAAAAAATATTTTTATAAATAAAATAATTAATTTTAAAATTAAAATTTTAATTAAAAAAAGATTTTAAAAATAAAATTCGAGTATTCGAGCTGCTTGAAGAAATTTAAGTCAGGCTTAACTATTCAGGTTTTTTGGAGAGTCGGGCCTGTTCGGGCCAAGCTCGAAAAGGCCTGACCCGCCCAAATTCTCAGTTGACTCATAGCTTTTTTTTATTTCTTATATAATCTCTTATCAATTAAAAAATAAAGATAAACTTGTCATTTCTAATTTTTTACTTTCATTTTGATTTTTAATTTATTTGTCTTCTTCATTTAAAAAATTTTCAAATAACATAAACAAAGAAATATATGATTTCAAATTTATCAATCCATACGTTACCTAAAATATTGGTTACAGGTAAGAATCAAACCAATCAAAATATTTGGTACAGCTCTGGGCAAGATGAAATCCATTGTACTTAGATTTGCGGCTAATTTGGTCCAATTTGATTTGTTTAGACCTTGCCAAGATGAAACTGTTTAAGATGAGATATATTTGATCTGTTGTGAAAAAAAAAGATATATTTGATTTATTAAAAAATATATTTAAATTCATACTCCCGTGTTAAAATAAAACTTGATATTCATAAATTTATGCTTTATTAATATTATCTCCATACTAAATATATTTCAATAAAATTAAACAATTTTATGATATTGTCAAAAATCAATATTTTTAAAACATGACAAATGAAAATAATCATTACATGCAAAAACAACTGCTTGCTCTTTCTCTCGCCCAAGCAGCAAAAACCCAACAAAGAAACCAAAACCAAAAAGGGGGTCCAATCGTTTTCTCAAGTGGAAAAAGGAGGTTGTACCAAACCAACTTGGCAAATCTTCTCACTTTAATTTGTTATCTATACAAGCACCTTCTATGTATCCGTACCAAGAGATTTCACCCAAAGAATAGCTTCTATAGTGTCGAAGTTCAGATTCAATCATATATCTCAAACAGATAACATGATGAAAGCCATGATTCAATCTGACAATTTACTGTGTCTGGATGCCCAAAACTAGCAGCAAATCACATTCACCCTGCTCCATCAACATAGTGTAGAATACTGTAAGCTAGTAAAAGTAGATTTGATATGCATTTAAAGATTTTGTAAGTTGCTCAATTATGAATCAAAATATAAATAAGCGAGCTATACTTCCCTAAGACTTTTTAATTGACATGTGTAGATTGTAAATGATGATTGATTTGGTTTGTTTATATTTTTGACAATTGAATCTACTTAAATTTCCACATAGGATAATAGACAAAAGTCAAAAACTCCTCCTTGATCTTTGAAAGATGGTATAAATTGAACCTGTTCTAATTTCACATTTTCAAACATGCTAAAATGATGCTCAACAATCTTTTGGAGCGCCAATTATTCCATGGCACCATCTCTGTAGTATCAGATTGATGTTGACGCCATCTTTGGATGAGTGTTTCTTCAATAAAAAGAAACATGGAGTTAAAAGCTGAGCCAGGAAAGAACATACCTTTGGCTAGGTTACTTGGAATGGAAGCAACTCCATTATGGTCCATTTGGATGCTCGGAGGCAGAGAACGCCTTTCCTTCCTTTGCAAGTAAGCCAAAACTTCAAAAACTATGATTGCAACAATTACTATACTAAGCAAGAATCCGTAGCCTATTCTCCAATCACCCCCTGCCCCTGCAGCTCGCATCCCCAACACTATGTTCAAGGCTGCAAAGAATAGAGCCAATCGCCCAAACCAACTGTGATACCAGTTCCAATACTTGCGAATCTTGGAGTCTTTGTTTGGTCTCAAGAAGAATGCTAAGATCTGCCCTCATAAAAGCTTTTGTCAATGTTGTTATTAACAATGCAAAAAGTGTGACTTGAAAATTCTCGGTGTTAGAGACATGGGTGAGTTGCAAACCTGAAGAATGCTTAGCACAAGGACAAAGATGCCTATTCCTCTGTGAGCTGGTATATGAACTTGCATTTTGGAATAAAGCTGTAACCCAAGAAGGACTGTGGCAAGACCAAATCCAAACCCTACAAACTGAATCACTGAGTGCAGATAGAACCATAAGGGATCCTTATGTCTGAAGTATCTTGCTATGATTGCCCCACTAGGTAAGATTAGACCCCAGCCTATTATGCCCACTATTCCATGGCTCTTCCTCATTTGAATCAAGTTATTGGATACAGAACCCTGGGAACCTGTGGAAAAGAACGGTTGGTCTAATTTCTGCTTGGAAAAGTTACAGGAAGCTGCAAGTTTCTTATAAAATATGCCACCATTCAAGCTGTTTATGGTGTGCTTTAAGAAAAGTATTGATTCACATATTCGGACTTTCGAAGTCAGTTGAAACGCCATATTCAAGGGTCAAATGCCTCAAACATTCCTAGCTAACAATATATATGAAACTTTAACATACTAGACTGTTTCAGATTTGAGCCACAGTAATCTTAGTTAACAGGATGTCCTTATACGTAGTGTTAATAAATTAAGAGTTTTTAGGTATTTAAACAAAAAACAGTCCACATATTTAACACTAAATCTAGAAATATTCTAAGCATCTCTCTTCAAAATGATCCAAAAACGAGTACTTCCTTAGAAAAACTTGGCCAATGAAAAACTTATTATCACATGACTTTTGCAGCAAAATAGAATGAAACAGAGCATGCACTGCTCTATCATAAAAGAGAGTGGTGGAGAATTCATTTTGCACCTGAAGAGAAATCAAACACAATAGCTGTTTTATCAACATGCTTTGAGAGGTGATGGTTCTGTGGCGTTTTAGCACCAAAAGCCATCAAAATGGGTTGCCTCCCAAGTGGAGTTGTGGTTTGCAACTGAAATGCCAAGTGAATTTGAGCCCCATCAGTTGCCACAGCAGCAGGAACGTTGTTGAGAGGCATTTCTCCTTTGTCTGCTATTACTTCTGACGATTTTCTGCCCCGCAAATAAAACTGTTTGATTTTTGCATGACCATGTTGGCTGATCCATCCCACCATTGCACTAGAACCAACCATCATCCCATCTTTTGAAAACCCAATTCCTACCCACCCAATTGTGTAGGGGGCAGATAGTATAATAGTTGTGGTCTGAGGATCATTTTGGGTGAACTGCAGTCCAAAGCTTACAAGTCAGCAATAAAAACATCAGCTTAAATCATCTACATTTGTGGATTGATTTGGAGAGACTGTGATATAGAAGAATTTTATTGAATATGATGCCCATATCTCCCTTTTGCGTCTTCTATTTTCCTCTATCTTTTTTCTGTTACAACACACACGCACGCCCCCACACACACATTCATTACGATAATCCGTTGTTTGATGGCATAATCCACTAAATCAGTCCCCCCCCCCCCCCCAAACAAAAAATAGAAGAAGAAGAAGAAGAAGAAGAAGAAGCATCCACCATTCTATCAGTGAGAACAACCTATCCGTCCCTTGAACTTTTTCCTAGCAGAGATTTTAGCCATGATTTCAGAATCACTGCAATTGAACAGATTAAAAGAAACTTTTTCCAATAACTTCAGCTTCTTAGGGTACATACATTCTGAAAATGGGCTAGACCCAAAATCAACATTAGTAGTCTAATATTGTTTGAACTTGCCCTTAATTCATGTGAATTAAAAACAGGTTTCTGCGTATAACGGAACACTGATATAGGACTGTTTAGATGCATAACTTCAAAAATTCGCACATGTTCTATCATGACTGTTACGAATGTCCAGATCAGAAAGATTCAAGTTTCATACAGGTTTTGCTGCCTAGTAAATTCTAATGCAGTATGACGAAAAGGGACAGCTGTGAGATGCAAAATTTAACAAATCATGAAAATTACAGCCGTAATTTTAGAATAATTGTAGTAGAACAGGTAAAGGAAGACTCTGTTTTCAATAGTATTAGTGTCTTACGAAACGTTGAATGGAGAAATGGCCCAACCGACAACCAATTATTAGACATGTATATGCAGCCTGAAGAACTTACCCTCAATTCATACGTATTCCACACAGGTCTACATATCATATGAGATATGTTCTGATATGGTGGAGGGAGAAAGCTTTGATAATTCGTGTTCTTGCAAGTACTTTCTGTTGCAGAACCAGTTCCACCATTATCACCTGCTGATGCCATGACTTTGAAGTTCAGCACAAGATTCGGAAAAACCAGACCGAAAAAAGATATCCATATCGGAGTCCAAGATCTGAAATTTGCCATTCATACAGTGTCCCAGTTGAGATCTAACCAAGGCTGAGAAAAATGCCAGCTAGAAAACTCAAGAACAAGAAAGAAAATGTGAATAGAAAGCAACAACAGTAAGGTAGCTCCGAGGCATTAGTCTCTTGATTATGAAGATTCGAATTTGGTGGTTGTTGGCTAAGGTGGTGGTTGGTCCAGGGACGTTATCATCACCATCTTCTTGTAAACTTGATAGCTCAACGTCCAGCAAAATTCCCTTTCTCCGGGACTTTGCATTGATTTTAGTATTTGCGACAGTCATTCATATTTAAATTAAATAATTCCAAAGTTCAGAACTTCCAATCATATAACCCGGGGATCGCTTCAAGAGTCAGATAGAACCGGAAAATACGAGTTCGACGCCCAAACTAAGAGATGCTGGATCTGCTCGTGTATGTTTGTGTGTGTGAGTATATTGGGTTATCCTTGACCGAAACTTGAGGCACATAATGTACACTAGCACTGTGAATTACAGTTGTCTGTCGGCAAGTTGCTGGCGGAGAGGACAAAAAAAGTACAAGATACTAGTTTGGGTGGCAGGTGATGAAGACAAATCCCAGAACTAAGTGGCCCCCTTGATTTCTCAAATGAACTGGAGAGACACTTGATAAGGTAAGACATTTTCTCGAACAATTTGTTAGAAAAAGATTGTTCTCTTTACAAGAAAAGGTAAGGTTAATTTGCAGCTCTTGTGATGACTGGAGGTGTCAATGGAGTATGTTTGAAGAATAAATATGGTCAATCCTGGCAAAAGTATTGGGGTAAAATCAGCTAAGAATGGCAATTCACTTTTTAGGGGAAAAAAAAATGGATATTAAAGTCGGGGGATCCTCCTTGTGAATGTCTGTCCGCGACATCCAATGAGAGCCCATGGAGGCAGCTTTTGATATTGACTGATGCCAGTTGTCTGACCCTTGAATTATCCACATCAGCCAATAAAAACATATTGCGACGGCTGCTTAATTTACGAATTACTTTCTCAAGAAGTCAAAAATAATTTAAAATCCAATTTAACTACAATTTATGCAGGGGGCTTTTTTTAAAAAAAAAAAATTATCCCCCAATCAATTCACGGGTTATGGGCTGGCATAACTCACATTTTGATGAGTTTTATTTTTGCCAACCTGCGTTAGCTCCCTAAAAATTAAATTTTTAATAATAATAAAATCCCTTTTAAATTATTAAAAAATACAATACAAATTTAAAATACATTAATATAATTTAAAATAAATATATATTCCATCTATTCCATCACAAATAAATATAACAAAAAATTTAAACTACAGTCCAAAGCTTGAAATAATGACGACGACACAGACACATTAGAATTTGATGCACGTTCTCTTCCAGTACTATTACTAGGAGTTGAAAATGATGATCCCACATCTTTATAATAGCCAAACAAATAATATATAAATATTTTTTTCACCTTTTCTTTTATTATCTTCAGATCAAAATCTTCAACGACTGTTTGATTTAATATTTTATAAAGTTTTTTTCTATAATTTTACATAAAAATATATAACTAAAATTAAAGTACTAAAATTTTATCAAAATAATTTAAAACTCTAATGAAAATTTGGAAAAATAAAATCACTTTATAAAATATTTTAATAATAGTTTACAGTTTTAATTATATTAAAAATAACAAACTGTAACGGTTTAAATTTAGTTCTATATTTTAATAGAAATTATACTAATTTTATAAAATATTAAATCATAAAAGAAGAACTTTTTTTGATAGAATAGGAAGAAACATAATTAAATGACTTTGCAAAGTGCTAGATTCCCAAGCACTTGTAACACTTGCATGATATTGTGTGGAGGAGATCAAGTAATCACTGAAATACCTAAGTTATTGGTCCTCAATACCTAGCGTACAAGTTTATCAGTTATAACGTTTGTTTATCAACGAGCATTAAAATGAAAAAAAAAATATATATATATTGTGTGCTAATTAAACTGCCAGTCTGCTACGAGTCAAAATAGGCTCATATATAAATAAGTTGCATTTTTGCCAATCCGACCTGCCCCTTTTGGCAAATTGTTGGGTTAATCCTATAGGGCTCAAGCCTATATTACAAACTCCATTGCCAATATTTCAAAAAATCAAGGGTATTACCATATCTTGCTTAAACAAATTTGAATTCTCACCGTGTGAAATCATTTTTACTAGTGATGATCTCATAAATACCATTGCCTTATAGATGCCTTCAACTTCCTCGGTTAGTCAAACTAAGCGTCCCTCAATTTACACACATGAACTTGAAAATGTACATGCTTGACCGGGGAAAATCATTGAGGGCCTAAATCAAGCATTGAATAGTTCTTATATTTGACAAATCAACATGATTTTTAACGCAATTTAAAACTGGCATCAATTAAATATTCCATGTTAATTGGATTCATTGATAAATAAATCTTCATGCTCAGTGATAATTTTGTGGTCAGAATGCTCAGGGGAGACAGATCGAGAGGCTATCCAATGAAGAGGATCAAAATAAAAGGTTATTATCAGGAAAACAACTAATTTTAATGTAAATGAATTATTATTCGTGAAAGAAAAATTACTCATATTTTCTAAGGTGCTTCTTGTGAATTATTATCATAGTGACATCGTAAGTATAAATATGAGAAAACAATTTGAATAAGTAAGAACTTGAGTTTGAGGGAAACAACTAAACATTGCGTATGAGAAATTTAGTGCATATGAGGTACAGATAAAGATGGATCTCTAATACTGGTCTTATCATAGGAATTAGACGCGGAGTCGCACACAATTGAGAGAGGCAACAATTGGGAAAATTACATATCATGGTTATGAAATTTTAGATTTTACACCTACTTTTCTTCATATATTGCACCCTTTCTTTTCAATATTTTAAACATTAAATTTATTTATTTTTTTCCTAAACTTATATCTAAATTTTTCAATTTTTTCACTCAAAGCCTAGTAAAATAATAATAATATATATAATTGATTTTTCTAATTAGTCAATTATTTTTAAAATTATTTTTTTTAAAAAAATTGCCCCCTAACCCAGGATTTGGCTTCACCACTGATAGGATTTCTAATTAAACTTATCCTCGTGCGATGCACAAGGAATATTTTACTATTTAAATGGTAGAGATAAACTAGTAATATGACAGGGAATAAAAAGAGAGGAGAAAAATATGTGACAGAGACAGACGAGTATAAGAAATACAAGGGAATCAAACAAGTACAAGGAAACATGGATGGATCCCCAATACCATGTTCAATGCTCCAAAGAAAAGTGCCATTCCAAAACAAATTGCAGTTCCAGCTCCAAAACTTGCCAATCTTGGATTCGTTGTTTGGTATCCAGCAGCACATTGATAAGAACCGTGTTCATAGAAGCTTTAAACTCACGATTGTACTTCACAGAATGATCACTAGATGACCAGACAATGAGCTTCTATACAGAAATGTCCTGTCATACATAATATGGGTAAACCTTACCACCAATCATGCAGTCACTCCAATCTTAACAAAATTAATATTTAATGCTCCACTTAAAGTTTTAACATCAAAATGGTTCCAAATCTAGCCCGATGAAACTATTTTCGTTAAAAACAAAAAAAAAAAAGTCCATTTAAGTGTTGATCATTTTATAAATGTACAGATTTAACAGTTTGCGTCTTGACTCAAATGTATCAGAAGGTCTTGATGTGACTCTATTCAATACAGCCTGTGATTGGCTTACATACCAACTAGCTGTACAGAGAATCAATCAAAACTACTTGAAGTCGATGTTCTTACAATTGTGATGTTGCGAAGAAATCGTGGTGAAACCGCGGAGATCATTATTACTCATTATTATACTATTGTTTTATTATGCCTACTAAGTTTATAGTAGTAACTGAATTAAACATTAAATATTTTAATTATTAAACCATCAAAAAATGGATTGAAACCCTTGAATTCGGAGTCTGAAAAAATTTGGCTGTAGGGACATTATTGACAAGGTTGATCTATTATAAATAACCTTGTGCCTGTTTACATAAAGATTACATATACTCCCATTAGTTCTATGGCTAAAATGTATAAAATTTCTTTAAATTTTGATATAGCTACATATGATTCACCTCATCTTTAAAAGTTTAAAATCAACCCTTCTAATATTTATTTTTATTTTACAAAATGCCTTATTGTTAATTATGTTATTTTTTATGAGGGTTAAAATGTTATTCAACTAAAAAATGTTATTAAAAAAAATATTATATTGTATAATTATTTATAACAAATTTTTTATATTTTTTAGATAGTTGAGGCATTGATAATAGCAAAAAAAAAATGGTATTATCACCATATAAAATTTTAAATATTTACTTTTATGTTAGTTTTTTATATTTTTTGTTATTAATGGTGCATAGTTTTCTAGTATTAAAAGATAAATTAATCTAATATGGTAATATTTATAATTTTAAATATTTTAGCCATATGCATTACATTAATCTAACATGAAAATATAAATAAAAATTTATTTTTTAAAATAATAAAATCATGCACCATTGATAACAAAAAAAAAGATAAAACTAATATAAATATAAATATTTAAAATTTTATATAGTGATAATAACATTTTTTTTGTTATCGATGCCTCAACTATTCAAAAAATATAAAAAATTTATTATAAATAGTTATACAATATAATATTTTTATTTAATAATATTTTTTAATTAAATGATATTTAATCCTCATGAAAAATAACATAATTAACAATATGGGGTTTTGAAAAATAAAATTCAAGGTCAGAGCAGTTAATTTTAAACTTTTAAAAGTAAAAGAGGTTAAATATAATTGTCTCAAAATTCAGAGAGATTTTATGTATTTTAACCTAGTTCTATTTATTGGGTAGAGGGAGAAAAAAATTTTTTTTGTCTTATTTATAAATCACCTCATTAAATTTTTATCATACATTTTTCCTTTTGACTTTCATAGAATGTTGAAAAAAGAAAATATATTATTTAGTATGTATGTTTAATGAGGACAAAATTGAAAAATTATTAAATTCTTAAATAAAATTAATAAATTTTAAAGTTTTTTTTCAATGAAACATGTTGAAATGCCTTATAAATAAAATTAGAAGAGCGTGCACGTACACACAAAATATCAAACAAGTATCTTTCTCTCACATACACATTTCTATTTAACTTTATTTAAAAATTCAGGGCTTGTTTGGCAATTTATTTTGGAAACAATTTTCTGTTCTCCAAAATAAAAAAAAACAAAAAACTTATTTGATAACATGTTTTTAAAAAATATTTTAGAGAATAAAAAATAAAATATTATTTTAAATAATAGAAAATAAAAATATATTTTAAATGTTCTGAGATTATTGTTATGGAGAATAAAAAAATAAGAAAAACATGTTTTTCTTATTTTTTATTCTC